GTGGTTCTTAAATTTGAAATGTTTTGAGAATTCCTAGGCATTCCACCTGCATTGCTCAGTGCTTCCGGTGACAGATTTTTAAATATGAAGCTTGTGCCTCTTAGATGACTTCACTGTATTGAACAGGCCATCAAAATTGTAGTGAGTGTATGGTTGTGGCTTTTGAGGATTCAGCCTTCCCTCTGTTTTAGAAGGCGAGCTCTTTGTTTACTGATTTGGTCATCAGTAGCAAACTGCACCTGCTACCCATGTGGTGAGCACTTTTTATTCGTGGCATTGTTGCTATCTTTGATATTTGCAAGATTTTTTTTTTAACAACTGGTAAAGAACACTGATAATATGTGTGATTGACGTAACTAAAAGATGGTGATTTTAACATCTGTCGTAAGGCCATTTTCATCCTTTTGGCAAACAAATCAAGGCTACATGTTGTTGTTATTAACTCAACAGCTTTTGAGTTTGGGCCATTGCTGGTCAGCACATCACCATATTGAAATCCATACTTTTAGTATGATAGTGGTGTATTTGGAACTGAACTAAATGTATATGTTTTCGAAAGTAAATGAAAACATAAGCGTTTGTTTAAAAACAATAATTTTTTCATCAGGTCTTGAGCGAGTGACCATGCTGTATCTAGGACTTGACAACATCCGCAAGACGTCGCTCTTCCCCCGTGACCCCAAACGTCTGACACCGTAGAAGTTTTCCAACAGACTGCTACACACATGAGAAACATGCCACAAGAATCCAACTTTCTGTTGTCTCCATGAGACCCAGCTATTAATCTTTTGCTGCTTTTGTTTGCTCTGCGGTATCTTTATTCTGTCCTCTCTCAAACCTCTTAATACTTGTAAATTTATGCTGGTTGGATCTTTCATGTTTCGTGTAAAAATTGAAAGAAAAGGAAGTCATAGGGGCAAATATTAGCAAACAACCCATATAGGGCTAATGTGTTTTCTTTTGTTGCCTCTGTTCGAATCATTCTCAAACTCGGACTTCTCTGACACTATTGATTCTATTCCTGCTTGTAGACACATGTTAAAAAATTGTGCCTTTGAGGCTGCTTCTTGCTCTTCCTCAATCAATGGTTCAAATAATTCTGATTTTATATTTCAGACAATCATTCAAACCTAAGTTTGACACTTATTGAAATTGTTTTTTCATTTCAATAAAACACAACTTGAAAATGATAAAGAAAGAAAATTGTAAGCATATACTTTGAAAAGTAATTCGACAATAATGTGAGAGAAGAAACTCTTGTACAATTTTTGCCATTTCTGTCTAGACTGACTTGTTCTATGTGCGTTAGCGTATGCACTCACAAATACACAATTTGCTGTCCTCTGTTCCTTTCCTTATACGGTATTAATCTTTGTCAGATCCAAAGTTTGTTATATTGCAATATTTAATCATTGCCTCAATAGTTTTGAAGTGGATTTGTGGAATGAGGGAGTTTTCCATTTATAGGTTTTAAAAATCGGTCTTTATCATATTTAGCTTTTTATGTACTTATTTTTGTGAATACAAGAACTGTATGTTTGATTCTGTGTATGTTCTTGATGACATGTTGGTCATGGGGAATTAAGTGCACATGGGACTCGGTATGATTGTGATGCTTATTATTTATTCACATTTATTTTCTTTTGAACTTGGTAATGCAAATGTAACCTATTGATCTTGTGAATGTAGTGAATGTTGCAGATGATAGTAAATGATAGATTCTTTGTTATATCCTTTGTGTTGAAAATACAATAAAACTTGCCATGTTATTGACTCTCTGAATTAAGAGATTTTCGTTGATCCATTTTGTGTTTCTTTTAATTTACAACCTCAGGGGCGGGGCAATATGATCCATGATCTCCACTGATATCACTCGTTATGGTCGTGTAGACAGTCAATGGGAAGAAAGAAGGAAACAGTGTGTTTTGACTTCCTGGGTTAGCACATACAAATATTGTTGGAACATAAGTGAGATAAATCGTGGGTAGATCTTGTAAGACACGATTGTGCAAAACATTTTTAAGTTGCTGTTTAGAGAATGTTTATTTAGGGCTTGACTGAGCCACCTGTGTTGGTATTTCATTTGAAAAGGGAGCATTTTGTCTTTTTGTTGACATTCTTTTGCCTCTGTGCCAGTTGCGCCTCCCC